TAAAACGGTAATTTTTCTCATATTTCCTTGGCGTATCCTTTTATATAGATAAAATCACTTTGATGAAACCGGTATTATGGAAATCTTTTTTCGTAGGATCTGATAACATTCGTAATCTCTACGACAAATACCAATACGTGGACCGGTGTTGGATTTTCTGATGATAATAACATGGTAAGACTTTGTCAAATAAAGAGACAAGACTTTGTTTTTTCTCTCGATAATTCATTTAACGAATTTATGTATACAAAAATTATTAAGTTAATAGTATTAAGTTATTAAGTTAAGTTTATATAGTATCTTTATACAAACATTTCTTCTTAAATTTAAAGATAGAGCAAACCCCACATTTGATCAATAGAAAAGTTTTACTCAGCTTTTTAGTGAATTTTTGAAATGTTTGTGTGTTTTGCTTTGATGTTCGATGTTTTTTTTTTCAACTAAATCACAAAATCTAAGATTTGATAGCTAAGAAAAAGACATTACTTAAATGAATTGTTTCTCAGGCCGTTTCTCCTTGAAAAGAAATGTCGCGTAAAGAGGAAGAAGATTGGAGCTTATGAAATTTTTAGGTAGTATTATATTTTTTTTTAGTCACAAACCGATGCCATACTCGGCTGGGTCGATAAGACAAACGGTCGGGCTTTCGTGATGGATACCTGGATCAGTGGCTATAACGCACCGTTGCTGGATCCATCGCAAGACGTATACAACATCAGCGGCCGCATCGAGAATGGCGTAACCACTCTCCAATTCTCGAGAAAACGCGTAACAAAAGACGTCAAGGATTTCTCATTTACGGATGATCATTGTTTGTACATGATGTTCCCGGTGAAGGGAGGCATATTTAATCCGATCAATAAGAAGATTCGAAAACACGATGTGAAACCGGTCGTTTCTTCAGACAGAATATGTATCAAGTCTTGCGGCCAGGAAGGTAAACCGACTACTATATTTTTGTTATTTGCTAAAGTTGTCCGATACAACTATTGACGCACAATATAATTTTTAAAAAGACATTAATTTAATATATTATTGTTTAATTATATTAGAAAAATTTTCTTGTCCAATTGTTATTAAAATGGGATTACTTAAATAAAAATTACTTAAATAATTACTTAATTAATTTTTTTCGTTAAATCATCATTTCTTATGATTATTAATGTATATGATTAATGCTAATTTATTATGTTTCAAAATATATCTCCAATTATATATATTGTATTAAGAAAAATCATTCAACTGTCCATTTAGAAATTGAAGATCAAAGCACGTATCCACCGCCAAGGTTCAATTATGATGTTGAAGTCAAGCTCGTCAGCTTGGGTGACGGATTTGTGATTCCCGAATCCGATAGTCCCGATTTCGAACTAATCTCGAACAAGATATCAGAGAGCTTTGAACCGGTCTTCAAGATGCTTCCGGGTTACTATCACGTCTATCTCAACGAGTTACGAAAGTAAGACAGCGAAAAGGAAGAAGTAGTAAGAAGCAAGTTTGATAAGTACTACTCCCTTCCGGTCTTGTTGCAGAGATAACGAACGGGGAGTGATTGCGCGCATGAACCTGATCATCGACAGGGCCGAGATCAAGGGTAGATCGTTAAAACCCGCGGACACCGGTTTAGAAGCAGAAAAAGCGTTGCGCGAGGCAGTCGTGACCGGTCAAGTCGGTATACTCGGCGTCGATCCGCAGTACTTAGTAGTAAGAACACCCAGAGGTAAGCATTGATGTTCTAAAGCCCAGTTTCATAATTTACGGTTAACTTTTAATCGAAGTTTAACTTATCCCAAGTAGCGTCTATAAAGCGCTAATTAAAAAAGCGCTTATATATACTTTTTAGTGTTTTTTTTAACGCTTTGTAGGTATCACTTGGGATTCCTTATCTCTAGAATTGGAAAGAAATGAGAAATAAGTTGAACCTCGGTTAAAAATTAACTGTGAATTATGAACTAATCCTAAATATTATATACTAATTTTAACAAAAAACTCTCTTCTCCTTCGATAAATTTTCCATCCTAGACTGAGATCCGAAATTAGATTTCTCATTTTTCTTGAAGAAATAAAGATTCATCCAGATATCACAACAGTAATCGTCTTAAAATTTTAAGAACTGTATGATTCAATTATATAGCTTCAAATAGCATTTTTTAAGCTAATATTACGAAGAAATGGAGATTTACTCACATTATTTAAGATACTCATCATCCCCATTGATCTATCGCTACTTCACAAAATAAAAATATGTGTTATACTTATTTTCAGTGAATGACATACAGACGGAAGATGAAAATGATCGGCCACCTTCCGCGACAGACTTGTTCCTGGGTGCGACGAAGTTTTATATTGTTGTCGGTTGTGTAGCAGCGTTGCTAGCTCTCGCTCTGCTCCAAGCCAGTTGTACTATTTACAGGAGCTCAAGGAAACGAGCGACTAAGGTATGTTTTGTGTGCGTTAGAAACTTTTTGTTCTTTTTCACGTATTTGTTTCCTCTCCACTTTTTCTCGCATTCCCATGTCTTCCCCCTAAGTGTTGTGTTCTGTTTCTTCTCTAACGAAATCTTATGGTGATCCCTAACGTGTTCCAAGAAAGATGTATAACGCTATCAGAATTCTATCCCGAAGAAAAATAGCTTTTAAGCATCATTTTGATGGAACTCTCTCTTGCACTTATCATAGTAGTATTAACTGTAACAAATCTAATTAAAATAACTCAATGCTAAAAAAATTCTAATTGTAGAATTGTAAAAGAAAAATCATAATATATTCAGAGGACACCAGGTTTCTCTTTTCTTCTCTTACTTCGCGAAAGTAGCCTGAAAGATTGCTGTTCGTGTACGTCTTCTTGGGACATTCTGTAATGTAAAAACTACGCTTCCATCCCCTAATGAACCCGACATCTTTTGCTTCGCTTGTGTTGCATGACTCGCGCTTCCCGCGACCAAAAAAGAGGGTGTACACGCTGCCTCTGGCTTCCTCCGATGCGCCCAACCCGATTCATCGTACGAACGCGACACGGTATCATCGACAACAAAACGGCGATCATCATCACCATCACAACAACAACAACAATACCAACCATCACCATCATCATCATCATCAACATCAGCTTCGGCATCACTACGCTTCATTTGAATTGCGTCGAGCTAATCCCAGCTGGTAGAGCTTCTCGTCGAGTATAATCGGTGCGCAATGTCACTCATCCCTATGTTCTTTCGCTCTAACCCAAGTATTTGACTAACTCGCTGTTATCTGGTTCTTCCTAACTCTTTGTAATCGCACATTTTTGCGCCTTTATGACCTCGCTATCAAACTCTTCCCGTTGATTTTTTTCCACTAATATAGAGTAATTAAATTAACTTGGATTTTTTAAATATATGCGTCGACAGATCATCGTGGACAAATATTTTTTTGTTGTGCCAATTGATGAACAAATATGTGTGAAATACATAAGATTATAATTTCTGATAAAGAAATGACGAGAGTATGATTAAATAAATAATAAAGTTTTGATAAAATTATCTACACACATATTTCATATTCTAAGCACATCTTTTTGCGCAGGAACGTTTGATTGCCAGTAATGCCTGGAAGGATTACGCTTCCGGTGCGAACACAAACTTCGCGTTTGAGGCGTTCGAAACGGAAGAGAAGGCACCGCCGCCCCCGATTTCTAGCCTGCCGAGAACTAGGGAGATGACCAGCAACGGCATGACTGGCATGAATGGTACCGACGCAGTCGAAGGGCCCAACAGGATAGTCGGACCCAGGGCGACTTACAGTCTTCCACGCGCGCCCGGTGCCAGACACTCGGCGCCTATCCAGCATGGTTATTATACACAAGATCGCAGGGATCATTATGGACGACCCAAGAGCATGCACAATCCAGGCATAGCAACCCAAGCGAATCAACCAGACTTCTACTTCATGCCCAGCCAGCGAAAATACAGCGGCGAGGTTGTGCGCGTTTATGTGGATTACAACAACCAGCCGAAGTAATCAAGAGAAAGTTCAGATCAAAAATCGCGAGAAAACGATTTACTCGCTTCACCGAAGCGATCTGTACATATTCGGATTGTAGTGACAGAGGTCGCGAAGAAAGGACTACGCAACCCCTGTGCGGTGCTATTTTATCTGTTTCTTTTTTCTCTTTGCCCGTGATTTCTCTCTCCCGAAGATCTATCTGAATCGAGTTGCTGGATTTAAGAAACAGGGAGGGAAATTGTCCCGTAGGAAGCATAGAAGTGGCGCTTACGACCAAAGAAAATATCCATAGGGCCTGCGCCCTATAATTCTGTATAGAGCGCATGAACTCTCGTCAAACTTTTGTGCTTTTGCGGTGGAGAAACTGTATAATTATATAAGTAAATTTCATGTAGTAGCCGAAAATCTGATAGTCCGAACTGTCTGAGGATCCCTGGGTCCAAAATAAAAAGAATCTTATGATTTAGCAGTAAGTATTCGAAGATTCAAGAAAGATCCAAGGGCCATATAGCTTAACATGAAGAAAATAAGACTTGAAAGACCCACGGATCCAAGAATAACAGGATTCAATAATCCTGAAATTCGAAAATTCAAAGACCGATAAAAAAAACATGTACCTAAGTTTATCTCGCTCGATGCGATCTGTTTATATCGCGTGATAGAATACCGATACGCTCAATGGGATGCATTTACATCATCTACTTTAAAGAGCAAGCGAGAACGCGTTTGAGCAATAAAACATTTGTACATTTTTAAACAAAAAATTTTTTTCGCGTTCTGAATTTCTTTAATGGATTACCTTCTTTAAAATCCTATTTATTTCCATATTGTTTTACTTATGCAGCTGGTCTATCAGTTTTCAGAGAAGCAGTCATAACGATAAAAATAAACAAGCAAAATACCTGTAAAATGATTGCTAATAATCGTTATGGATAAAAATTGTAATGCCTGTGACAATGACGATATTGTGGATATAGAGAATCGTGTTGGTACGGATTATAAATTATTACAATAGAATGATAAAATTAACGATATAATACTTGTAATAATTATAATAACGATAGATGTAGCAGCAGTAGTAACGATGGCAATAATATTACAGTATTAATTACATTAATGTCATTAACAACGGCGTCGCGTGCAGCCAGACTTCCGGGATACCTTCATGAGCGATGGAATATAAGGCGACGCCAAAGATAAACTTTCTCTCCTCTTTCATTTTCTTCCCTCCCTTCCCCCCCCCCCCCCCCTCTCTCTCTCTCTCTCTCTCTCTTGCGATCTCTAAAAGTACGCGAGCATATATCCGGAAGTCAATTGTGGCACGCACTGCCCGCGTTCCTATTATTACATAACTAGCATCGAGCACATATGTTCGGCTCTACCATAAAGTTTTTTTCTTCGGTCACACGTGCGAAGTTTGAGAAACGAGTTCTACGCAATCTAATATGTGGCATACCCACGAACACGAATGCAAACGCCGCCCGGGACAATAGAGCGATGTATGTGACGAGTAAACGCGTGACTGAACTATGGTGCTTGTTAGAATGCACTTCGAAGCGTTTTGTAAGAAATTATACATAATCGCGCATGTATTTGCGCTCGGTGGGTACGCCATTTTATTTCTGCATTTTATCTCTGCTTTTTTTCAATCTATCGGTCTGTTTACTTGTTAACTCATACATGCATTATTTCTCTGTCTCTCTCTCTCTCTCTCTCTCTCTCTCTCTCTCTCTCTCTTATTCTCTCTTTCTCATACACACATACATACGCACATGCACATGCACACACACACACACACACACACACACACGCATACCCTCCATTCTCTGGCACGCACTCGTGTCATCATCGGCACTTGTACATAACTCGACACATTTCTTGGTTAAAGCAGTGTAGTTAAAGAATACGAACAGGCGAACATCTGATAAATCGGAGTGAACACCCCCGTAATAAGGCTTAATTTAATTTGTTAGTAACTTGTGTGATCTTGCTCTGTACGCGTCTGCTGCACACGCCTGTTTTCACACAGATGCGCACTATGAATGGCCCACTCAAGCTCGCTGCTGTCCATTTTGCAGTGTTTATTCCACATTTATGACGACACATCTTTCTCTCTCTCATTCAAAAGCCGTGTTCCGTTGTCTTTACAGATTTCCATTACAGCTTTCTACACATGGCGACCCGTTCTCCAACTTGTATCGTTCTAATTTATAATATTTACTTGCTGTTTCACTTCCTCTGTCTGACATCGGATTCCTTGTTAGGTGTCGGTTTGCTATAAATTTAATGAAAACAGAATATCAGGCGAAATAGTAATTACGAGGATATATAAAGAATAAGCATATATAAAACATATAAATATAAAGCGTTCATCATTAATATACAATAATTTGTCACATTTTATAAATAATATAAATAAGCAGATTTATAAAGAAGTAGAATAAAATTGAAATAATCCTCATCTGTTTTTTCTTTTGTAAACAATTGAGATAAATAATTTAGCCAAGTTGGAGCCGATTTTATAGTATATTTTTTTCTGAAATTTATCCGAGGTAGACTTAAAATGGATGCTGTTGGTGAATTGGAACTGTAGTATTGGAGGTAAATCGGATGGGAAGGACTCGTATAAAGGAACATACCACTCCGAGAATTCATTATTAGGACTAGGTTCAAAAACTGGATGATAATGAATGTCTGTCAAACAGAAATACAAAATCGTAATTCTACATTTCATAAAATAATAAGATATTATAAGGAAAAAAGATAATCAAATTCTAAAACACACTTACGTATCAGGACTTTGATCGGTATCGGATTCTTCAAGTTCAGCTTTGTTCCGCTTCTTTTCGTACACTAAGATAATAGCGCATAGAACAACAACCTCTGCACAAATGCCTAAGAAGGGCCAGAGTGCAGCAAGCTTGTCCTTCACCCTGAGGAATGTCTTGGCCTCCGATGAATGTTCTAATACGGGATCAGACCAGTTGTACGACATTCTGCAGATAATATTACCGCGATCGTTCATCTCGATGTTGTCGACAATCAGAACGGCGCCATAAATACCCCTCTCTGGGTCTTTGGTAATCTTCACGCGACCCTTGCTGCGCGTATAATTTTGTTCCCCGAAGGTCCAGTATATCTTTACGCCGGGGGTCTGCCGGAGACTGCTGCACACCAAGTGTAGCTTTTCACCCTCCACCACACTGGTAGATTCAGCCAGATGCGCTATTGGCCTTGCTGAAATTTTAGAGCATCCAATGTGAAATCAAAACTTCTTCTGGTAAAATATCCTTAAAAAAAACCTTGTTTTCTCTTTTCTTAAAGTAGATACCTTGACAGTGACGACTAAATTCATATAATGTTTCCAGCGTAAGCCGCTTGCTTCTAACAATATTTCTATAAATCTAGAAACATTGTAGCAGAGTACTCACGTACGACTCTGTATTCGATTGTGGAGTTAGCCGCTTTACAAGTATAATTTCCATGAGCTTCCTCCTTATCCTTTAAAATTTCCAGGCTGCCAGTCTCATTATCAATCTTGATGATATCTTCGTTACCAGCAAACGCTGTGCTTAACGGTGTCTTGTCTTTCAACCATTGCACTTTATCGCCGGCGCTTCTGTTTGCACATTCGAGCACCAAAGGTATGTCTCTGGCCGTAAGTACTCTAATCTTAATATCTGTGCCAAACAAGAAGACGTTTTTCGGTATATCATTATTTATAACCATGCAATTACGATGTCAAAGAAAGAAAATAATGTATAATGTGTAAATGTTGCTGTGCAAAGATTTAAAAAATTAAAATTCTATTAATTATTTTTATTATTAATTATTATTAATTATTAATTATTATTAATTATTATTCTATTAATTATTTTTAACTTATATTAAAATTCTATCTTTATATTTTCCGTGTATGACATAATAAAAGAATTAATTTATAATTTTTTTATAAATTATTCAGACATTATAATATTATACATGAATAATGTCGGCAACTACTATTGCCGTTATATTTTTAGGATGCGCGCGCGCGCGCAGGTCGTCCTAAATATTTTATAATAATAGCTAAAAAAACACAGCAACTGAAAAGACGCGAACAATTCATTCGGTTTTAAAATAAATTCATTCATCTCTACGTGAATTGTCCGAAATCATGCGTTATTATATTTTTCATTAACTTTGCTAATTTTCAAACATAAAGTATTTGTTGCATATATATATATATATACAATATCGATTACAAAATTAAAATCTAATTTTGTTATCTAATAAAGTATGACGTAAGACATAGTGATTATCTTATAAGACATATGATTAATATAATGATAGTAACGATTTTTTTCGTAAGAATTTCATGTACATATAATTCTAAACAACATGGATAATTAATTATTTATAAATACAAGGACGATTTGAATAGCCTATAATAATCAGATATATATTATTATTACGTAATCAATATAAATCTTTCATGTTCTTAGCGTTTGCATGTAGATGATAATTAACGTTACTAGTTTTAATACAATATGCTCAATGAATAGTACATTCATGAAGACAATATTCATGAATTTGTCGGAGAATACATTGAGAAGAAAAGTGAATAAAATAATAATTGTACACGCAATAAAGTAATAACTGGCAGTTTATTTCGAGGCAGAATATCAGTTATCAGATATTATCACATATTGGGAAAAGATTTCAGATATAGGCCACGTATCTTCGTAGAGGTGTAAATACTTGACTTATTAATTTAATCGATAATCGATATTTAACTGTTTATCAAACTCGATCAATCTACAATAAACACATATGTAACAAAACGTGATAATAAAATATTGATACTCGTTTCCACTAATGTAGATCAACTTTAATTTTGATTAAACTTATAATCTTCATTTTTTTATAAAGTTCTAAGAATTAGAAAAAGATGAAGAGTAAGTTGAACAGAGATTAAAGTCACATTACATTACATTGATGAGAACAAGCATAAGTCCATGTGTAGATGTAATAGCGAAATATACTAATCTTCTTAATGGAAACAGTGATAAAAGCGTGTCACATTGTCGCGTACAGGGAAAAAATGCTGACGTAAATGTGTACAGGATACAAAAGAACAGGGTCGAAAGAACTTTATAGTAGAATTTTCTGACTGATAGAGTTTTCAGGCGATTAGAGTATAATTTATCAAAATAATGACGTCTCATAAACAACATAACATTACGAACCAAAGTATAATGACAGGTGGAAAGACTCCGGACTGTCGGAGGTGCATTTGTAATCTCCTTCGTGACTCTCAGTCGCCTGGGACGCCGAGAGCTTGCTGCTGCCGGCGTCGGTCTTTGAAAAGACGACTAGCTGACCACTGGACAATTCAGGTTCCAACGTCTGACCATTCCTGGTCCATCTAACGAGATCATCGTCCTTCAAATCGCTGCATTCGATGTTCCAAGGTTGTCCCTCGCGCACGATCGTCGGTCCCGTATATTGCACTTTTATTGAAAAAAAAAAAAAACCATTCAAATTTACATACAAGTTAAAACTGTGACAAAATATTTTTATTTTTAATTTAATTAAATCGATGTATCAATCAAATAAATTTGCAAGTTTTCTTTATAAAATTAGGAATAGCAAACAAAAAATTGCTTAATTATCTTAAATTAGAAATAAAAAAAAACAAGTCTTTTTACTTTGCATCGAATAAAAAATGTGTTTCTTACTGTAAAACCGTTGTATTAACTGTAATAATACAGAATTATAAATAATGAATAGAATTTATTTTTTTCATCGTTAAATTGTTTAATAAATTTAAATAATATCGTTAATAATTGTTTAAATAATAGATATCTTACTCCGATTTTAAAAGCTAATCAAGCGATATATTGTTAACAAATAATACTTCATTAGTAAAATTGACACTGTTTTCTTGTATACTGATTATAATTGTATGTATGGGTATAATTGTATGTATTCTAAATTTTAATTATTGAGGCGATGTAATATCTATTCAAAAATAGTTGAAGACATTTCGAATTATCTCTCTAATTTAAATTTAAATATATATAAATATAACTCCAATATATAACAAAATCAGCGTTAATTCAATAACAATATGAAACTTTTATTTAATTTTTAAAATCGGAGTACTACATAAAATCGTTCAAATAATCATAGTAATGTATATCTATGAGATCACTATCACTTTAATCATTGTACTATATTTTTACTTTTATATTTTTATAGTTATTTTTAGTTATAGTTATTTAAAAATTTTGTGTATGCAACAACTGAATTCTAGAACAATAATACGGCATTAAAATCATCAAATGCTCCAAAAAAATATATCTAGACTCATATCTAGATAAAAAATTTTCAGAGTCTAATCTTTTTTTTTTATTATTTTCATCTCAATCCTAAATCGGTCTTATACATCATTTTTATTGAGGAAGAAAATGTTCAAATTTATTTATAAGTCAGGAAAGTATGAAGAACTGTGATGATGTAATAATTCCTTATATTTAATTAAGTCAATTTATCAGTCAACATAAGTCAATTATCAGTCAATATAAGTCAATTTATCAGTCAATTTATCAGTCAATATAAGTCAATATTAATCAATATAAGTCAATTTATCAGTCAAATTCCTGTCATAAATCGTAAAAAATTTAGAAATGGCAAAGAAAACCATTGCCAAGTTATTTTAAATTAATCTAACAATTAGCACATTGGACAACGAAATGAAATATAGAATTATGAATTTATAAATTTAAAGTTTTTTATAATAAAGATAACGAGCGATAACGAGATAAAGATAACATGTTCTTATAAATAATTATTGCGTTAAATAATTACATCTCTCTTTATTAGTAAAAAAAAAAATTACCATTGCGCAAGCTCGCCGTTTCAAAGAAAATTCATCACCCATTATTCTCTACATGACTAAGAAAAAAGTTATAGTCACGCAGAATAAAACTGATATTCGCGTAAATGGTTAACCTTGCACATGACGATCCTCGAAAGTAAGTATTTAGCTCGCGTTGGATAAAAGACAAGATAAAATGCCGAAGAGTCTTTATCGTAGATAAATGCACCATTATTTTAGCAACTTTTGTAACCATTTGTAATTCCGCAGTTCTGTGTTCAGATAATATTGATCAAATTTTACTCAGAGTAATAGTTAAGCGTTTCTTTGTTTTAGTCAAATCTGTCAATATTAAGTATTCCGACTCCCAAGTCAAAGGAATCAATCAGTTCATTTCTGTTTTAAAAAAAAATTTCAAAACTCGCAACGTTATACCTGCAGCGCGGGTTGAACTCTGAAAAACTTATGTGAAAGACGTGCAGAACATAGGTGTGGCAGAAATATTTGTTCTTGTCTCGAATGCGAGAGAGAACGATCTGAAATATCGATCGTCCGCGTACGCAGGGAACGCGTGTTTACGCATGTTTACATTTCAGAGCGTTTGGTGCGAAAACAGTTTCTCTCGGCTCTTAGCCGTCGGTACAAACTATCGATCGCACGTATATAATCAGTTAATTATTCTCGTGAGTATACCGCAATGTAAACCGGAATTTTTTCGCGAGAAAGACAATTAGCTAATTGTATTTATGAACAACTCGCAAGTTTTGCGAATGAATTACTTTTATGAATTATTTCCTCGAACAACATATAAGCACGCATAAAGAAATTAATTTTATATCAATTACAGCTTTGTATGAAATTTTACTTTAATATATGAATATATTTGATATTTGAATTATAGATGGAAGGAACTGGTTTTGCTAGATACAGAAATATCTGAAAACAATTTTGTTTGAACCATCAAATAATTATGTAGAACGCTGAAACTAAGTTATTAGAAAATTAAAACTTTTTGGAACATTGTCAGCAACGTTTAAGCGTTATACGTAATTATTTTGATAATCTAAAACAAAATTATTTTCAGATTCAATTATATTCATTTATATCTAGCTAAATTTTTAGATACGCACTTCAGCAAAAGCATTCTTTCCGCACGTGCTTTGTTATTTCCATGAAGTGTTCTTTCGTAATTTAGTATCAAAACCTTGTCAAATTCAGTTTCTAAACAATTTATTTATTTATTTATTACGCGATACTGAAGATAAAAGATATTATTATATTTGTAAGAAAGATTAATTTCTATTGACTTTTTGTTATTTTTGCGATTCTTTGTTAATTCGTTTTCTCGTTGCTAAAATTTCTTGTTGATTCCTTCAAATTAAATTATAAGTACATAGTAATATTTATATAAATAATATTTGTAATTTTATGTAAGTAATATTTATCTGGAGACACAACAATCTCGGTGCTAAGTCAAGCGACACTACCGTGCCTCCTTTAAGCAAGTTCGATGAGTTGTGTCAAATCAAGATTATCGGATCTCAATAATGGTTGTTCCAAGTTTTAAGTAACTTAATATACACAAATCGAGGGCTTTTGGATGGACAATTCGAGCGAAATTCTACTTTCAATAACAGAAGTATCATGCGTTGGTCACGAATCAACAGAATTATATCAATGTCGTGACGTATACGCATACATATACGTCACAGTAGTTTCACAGTGATAAATAGTGACAAAGCACGGTCTAGCACAGCCAGTGAGAATATGACTCAGAACGCAAATCGTTATTTTCGAGTCGCGGCAAGATAGGCTCTGTGTAGTCAAAATAAATATTGACGGCGTTATTAACGTCAATCGAATAGATTAAGGCAAAATTCATCTCGATTGAAGATTCAACACACTAATAACTGACACGTGAACGTCAGAGAACTGTCTAATAAACGAGGAAAAATTCCGAGAACAAATCATTCGACGTTCTATTCTATTGTTCAATTATTTTCATCGCAAAAAATTACCCGCAGCCGCGTTCAACGTCTATTTTAATTTTTACAGTATAGAGTTTAAACAATATTTTAATATTTCAGAAGCTTATAAACTTATGTAGTGATAAAAATAAAATTGAATACGTTTCGAAAAATTAGATTCTTAGAAAATAAAAAATAATCATATAATAATTGTTAGAGTAATAAATTCAGACATTATTAATTTTTAATTTGGATTAAATTTTTGGATTTAAATTGGATTTAATCTTTATCTGATCGCATGATTTTTCCTTCAGACTTGAATTATATTGTTTAAATTTGTTACTTATACTTCAGTATATTCGTTCAAAAAATTACGAAGCCCATGAAGCTCGATACTTTAAGTCAATATTCGCACGTCATTTGATTTCACCGTAAATCAATTCTTCGTATTCATAATAAATCTTCTCGGTTGCTTTTATACCTGACGAATACAGTCCATCGTAGCCATAGATCGTAAGTGATAACTAAACCATAATATGTTTTGCTAACTGAGCTAATATTAATTCGTTGAATACTTCAGCCGTTGGTCGTAATCGTTAAACATATTCTGATTTTTTTCCTTTGTTCTTCCAAAGCAAAATCCAGTGGAATCCGACGACAGAGAGGGAAATTATCCCGATTGTTCGGCGGACTGACATGTTCAAATGCGAATTGGCGGGGCATAGTAACTCCGGGAAAATCAATAAACTACGAATGTTATTTTAAGCCCGCTTTCACGATGGTACCACGCAGTTGAAAATCCACACACACAAGGTTCACGAGCCAGAAAATAAAATATCTGTCGATTGAAACGTCGAAGGATCTAATCGGATTTTTTATTCATTGCAAATAAGAATTCTTAGCTGGACGTTTGTTGAGCTCGGATCGAATGGAAAGAATTCCGAGAAAGAATCGTGCGTGACGCGATTCTGGAATAAACGATTGAATTTTAGGTGAATGACATTTCAGGCGAGTTGAGTTCTACCATCGAAGGACGTATCCTTCGAATGTATAGATAGTCACAATTCGCATTCTAAACGCGTGACTGTATCAGGCGCAGCTTGCACGCGAAGAATTTTTCTCACTGGAGAGAAAAACTGATAGCTTGGTATAATTCCTGTAATTTTGTTTTCAGTCAGAGATATTTTTCGCATTCCGTTTTATCTTGCGCTTGTCTGCCGTTAGTTATGAATGAACGACAAATACTCGCGAAACGAAAACATGTCTCTTTCTCAGCTTGCAACCATCTCGATTTTGCTGGCTGAAATTCCATGTCGCACAGTGTTGCATTTTTGAGTGGGATAATCAAGGCAATATGTGACACACTTTCAGGGTATATTCCTAGACTCGCCTTCTCGTTTTAAAAGATATAATCTTGAACATGGCCTCTTCTGTGTTTCGAATACGTTGCGAAATTATGGGATCTGTTACGTTGGGAAACCATAAAAATAGATGTATCCTTGCAGGATGAGACGTAATTCTCGTCTGATGTTCAAGAATAGAGACGTTTTATGATCACCCAGACATAGTGGCTAGATATCATGAGCTAGTCAGAAGAGTTATTACGAAAACAAATAAGAGAATACTATCTCTTGAATAAAATTTATAGTAGTATATTTTCGAG